ATGATCAATATTTGTCAATATTTGTATGTGAACAGTTTGTTCAAATTTTATAACTAGTAGAATGCAAGAAAAATAAGAAAAGGATACACAATTCAAGGAGTGAATGTCTCAACTCTTAAAAATATTGGTGAGCAGTTCAACGTACCTTTATATTTGTATAGAAGTACATTAAAAGCCATTGTATAAAAACCCAAACTGACCACACAGATGTAATATTTTTTAAAATTTTCCTGTGCCAAAGACTGTACACAGCTGTTTTCAATTCACTGAAATAGATGTGTGGTCTTCCTTTCAGGTCAAAGAAAAATCTCTCTCTTTTTGAACTTTTATGTGTGGTTTGGCAAGTCATATCATTAAAGTAAGAATATACTCATGTGAAAAAATCTTTATCAATGCTGATGTCCCATGAAATGGGTTAAAACTGTCTTGTAATGAAGTGTACAAAATTCTAATATTTTTGATGCTTTACAAATGTCTCTCAAGTATTACTCAGATGTGTTCTAAGTATAATTCAACCACATTGTTTTAAACTTTGAGAATCAGAAATTTTAAAAATGTAATGATAAATTAAGTTCCAGGATTATAGTATTTTTGATGCAATGATGAAATTCAGAGACCATTGAGTTTCATGCTGCTATCAGTTTCCTTTTTATCACAGATCAATCTTGATTTTTTCCTTAGCAAAATATTATACTTCATTTCCCAACATTGTGCCCCCGATTCACCTTCACCTACACTTTTGTCAGGCTCAATACATTTTAAATAGTATTCGCTAGGGCAGTATAAGAACATTTTCCCATGCAACTGAAAAAAATAACTCGGTAGTTATGCTTCCTTATGACTTTGGCAGGCCTAACAAAATCTAAACACATTTTTATTTTCTTGTAGGCCCCATTTTTGGTTTTAAATTCATCGTGTAACCTCTGAAAATATTACAGTGAGGTATGAACTTTAACATGAAAAATTTATGTTTTCATCTACAAATTCCTTTCCATCTTTAATGTTAAAAAATTGAAGGTAGGGTTCGACAAATGATTATTATATAAGATTATATTATGAACATATCTTTTCTACATATTTCAAATAGCTTCAACCATTATTTCCTTGAGATGGCACTAGGGCAACTTTATTCTTTGTGTTGAACAGTGTACTCTCACTAATTGAAAATATTTTTCTCTTCTTTTCCCGATTTATTTTTATAAAATTATTTTTTATCATAATTTCTAGCCTCAGGACAGAAGTGATTCTCTTTTTGTGTTTTTCTCCTAGCTATAGACATAGTGCAATAATTCCAAGCTAGCATTTCACATTTCGCAATGACAATTTTTCAAGTCAACTCAATCAAATATTTATTAATGGCCTACTGTGGGTCATGAACAGTAATGGTAGGCTGCTCTGCCTGTCTCACTCTAATCTACATACCATTGTTAAAATGGCACAATTGACACTAAATCACCAATTCAGTCTCAATGGATGAGATCAACATTGCTTGCGCTTTAAGCAGATGTGAAATAAGATGTGATCATTTAATATCACTCCATCTTTCAATTATGAATACCTCCCTAATTTTACCTCCATCTCATTTCTCAGGTCTCAAAGAGAATGAACTAAAAGAAACACAATAAAGGAAAATCAGTAGATGATAGAGGGCATCTTGATGACCTATTGGGAATGTACATGGTATGTGAAGAGAGGGGATTATTATTATGTGTAAGAATATGGAAAAATGTGACTGGGAAATAAAACAGAATAAAGACCAAAAGATGAGAAGAACAAAAATGTCAGGAATAAAACATCATATTTTATTTAGGTGTATTTTTATTTGGTTTGGTTTTATTTCATTTATTTTATTTGGTTTAATATTTTGACTTCCATATTACTAGCAAAATATTTTAGAGCCACAATTCTAGAAATTATAAAATTCATGTAGGGAGTCTCGTGACACTTAATATTTTGAAGCAAGGATACTATACTTTTTCCCTATAGATTCTCTACTGAATATATATATATATATATATAACTGAATATATATGTATATACTGAAAAAAATATATATATATATATATATGCTGAATATATATATGCTTGGAGATCCAGCATTAAAAATCATACTTTGTCTCCTAAGGCTTCACCCACACTCCATTGAATGCTAATACCTGAACTGTAAGGAGAAACTGTCTCCACATGGTCTCAGGATTCCCCTCTCTGTCTTCTCAGTCCATGTGTTCATCAAGAGGCAGCACCTGAGCTTTAAATCTCTATTTTAGCAGACTGTTTCAAAGGATAACATTCTTATTAGAACTCCAGGCTTAAAAGATGTTGGAAATTACCCAGACATTGGGTAAAAAGAACTGGGACTTCATTTCTAATGCTCTCTGGAGAAGCATAACCTTTCACAAGCAATAATTTACTCAGCAAACAGAAAGGGAATAAATAAACTCAAAATACCTTTATTAGGCAACATAACATTAAAAGCATAGCACAGTTTCAGTGGTCTCTCTTTTATATAAGCGATGAAGATGCCGTGTTCCCAGCGAAGGTGAACAATGCTTGGCTGTAGCAAACTACGCCAGGAGTCCATTAATCTAAAACTGGACTATGGCCCTGCAGGGTATTCTCCATCCCACACTGAAACCTGGGGAATTATTTTAGGAAAGTCAGGAAGCACTTGTAAAAGCCAAGAACTATAGGATGTAAATCTAAATTACAGACTGAAATCATACGGCTTTCCACATATTCATATAATTTTTGGTTTCTTAAAACCTGTGTTTGATTCCCTTCTGCCATTATGTGAAATCCATGAAAAAGGATATAAATAGATTGATGCAGCTCCTTGAAAACTCATAGTCTGTGGTTAAACAGATGAAAAACAATTTTTCTTCTTTTAAAAACTGTAAGTTTGAAAATATATCATGCTAGGAAAAAAATGCTAATTTTCACAGATTCCACAATTATTTTCTTGCTTGCAATTTGGAAAGCAGAGACAAAAGCCCTTCATATTCTTTCAGGATTTCTGCTAATTATTCTTAAGAAAGAAATTCTCATTGGTAATTCTTCAAAAATTTTGGAAGTATTTTGGCCTTAGATGGAGTCTTCCATTGTTAAGAGGAAGAGAATATAGAACTTTTATTCAACTTTTATGTTCATCTACTTACTCAGCAGTAGAGTCAAAACTTAGAAAATACCTTGGGTTACCTGACACTGCACATTTATGAATTCTGTATCCCATACTAGACCCAACAGAATTTTTAAAATGTAATTTTTTTTCCTTATCCTTTCCTGCCAACACTTGAAATGAATTCAACTGCAGTTGCATTAGTAGCGTAGGCCTGGTGATCACACACAGAGGTATGAAAATCAGAGAAAACTAGGAAGCACTGTGTGAGATTCTAGGCCATTTATTCTAGTAACTTCTCTCCTGCTATATTAGACAAATAAGAAAATGTTATTTGCTGCTCTGTAGCTTTTGGCCATCTCAGAAGACTCATACCTATGAGAAGAATTTTTGTTGCCTTAAAATAGTATGTTTCAAATCATGCATAAGCACAGTTGAAAAAAAATTCTACCTGTCAATCAACTCAGAAATAAACATGAATATTCACTTGTCACTCATTTGAAACCCTGAACTTTTGGACTTAGTGTAGCTCAAGGCTCATTGTTTTACAACATGTTTGTGAGAACATAATGGAAGGAAAATTATTCATCTAATTTGGGAGAAGTGGCTGCTACATTTTGGGGTGGCATGTGGCCTTTCTATGTACACAATGATACCCTGCCATGTACCAGCTTTTCAGCACTGGCATGTCACCTGGCCTGTGGCATCTCACATTCTCATGTTCTCACACTTGTGTTGTGGCCCAACTAACTTGTTAAGCCAAAGCAAAAAGCAGGTGGGGCACATGCTTGTCAGAGACTGGAATGGCAGGCCACATGCCTCTCCAAGTGCTGTAAACACCAGGGTTTGTTTGGAAATTTCATCTCCTGGTTACAGTAAACATGACTTGAAGGAGCATCCAGCAGAGAAATGGCATGCCCTTTTTCTACCAAAAAAAGGAATTTTCAGGAAATAATATAAGCTATTAATGAACTACAGAATAATTATTCGAATTGCCTATTTACTGTTTAACTCTATTTAAATATGATAGGATATACTATAATGCAACCTAATATCTTAAGACATAATGTATATAATGACATGGGTATAACATTATCTTTCATATATGTAAAGTTAGACAGCAAACCTAGTAGCGTAAATTATTATGAATTGCATATTGAAAGAATACAGCTTTTGGGTTTGTGCCATAACTTTGTAAAAGTGGATGCGTAATTTTTGAGGAAAAAATTAAATTACAGCATAGTATAATGATTACCTTTTATCACATCCTTTCAGCTCTAAAAAACAAATTCTTCTATTCTATTCTCAATTCAGAGAAAACAGCTTTATAAAATTACTCTCTAGTCTAAAAATGACAATCTAATCAACTACGTAAAAATGAGATAACTTTAGTTCAAGTACTATAAAAAAGTTTTGTTGTACAAAAATTCTAATAACTTTTGAGAAACTTTGAATTGTGGCACAGACACTTTATTTTTGTGCATTACCTACCAATATTAAAAGATTAGTATAAAACAATGGACTACTTAGCTTCATGATTTAAAGTTTAAGATTCTTTCTTCGGACTGGGTACAGTGGCTCATACTTGTATCCCAGCACTTTGGGAGGCTGAGGTGCATAGATCACGAGGTCAGGAGATTGAGACCATCCTGGCCAACATGGTGAAACCCCGTTTCTACTAAAAATACAAAAATTAGCTGGGTGTGGTAGCACGTGCCTGTAATCCCAGCCACTCGGAAGGCTGAGGCATGAGAATCACTTGAACCCAGGAGGTGGAGGTTGTTGCAGTGAGCTGAGATTGCACCTCTGCACTCCAGCCTGGCGAAAGAGTGAGACTGTCTCAAAAAAAAAAAAAAATTTGTTCTTGTAATTTGAACTCTAGGCTTTTTGCATATTTTTGTTTATTTGATCCTCTTCTTAAACCCTAAAATTCTGGCCATATAGTTAAGTTTATTTATGCTTGACCTAATTAATCATGTGATTAAGAAAATGTATAGCTATATAGAAGACATGTCCAGAATTCCTCTTAACACACACACTGACAAAAATGTTACATACTTATATACTCTTTATATACTTAATTATATATGATATATGATATGTACTTATAATTATATACTTACGTGTACCAAGCATTTCACTTGGAACTGAGTGGCCAGTGTCAGGAAGGCTAGATTCTGCTCCCCAGCACTACGGTATCAGTAATTTTTAGCTGAACTTCAGATTGTACAGTGGTGAATAGTTAGAAAAATGTTATAAAGATTTGGCCGACTCAGGAGGCTGAGGTGGGAGGACTGCTTGAGAAGTTAGAGGCCGCAGTGGGCTATAAGCATGCCACTACATGCCAGCCTGGGTGACAGAGTGAGACCCTCTTCTGTTTTTGTTTAAAAAAAGATTTGTGCTTCCACAATTGCGGTTCTAAACCAAATTCTAAATCAACTGGTTGTGTCCATTTAAGATTACATATTAGTTCTCCGGGCTGTTAGTTGCAGTTTGATATAGGAATTTTCATCTACAAGGTAGAAGGCTTACTCTGATTTTTATTAATGAAGCTTCCATCCTTACTGCTGACAGCATAGGTTTGATGACATAGATAAATGAAACTTTCATTAAGGGCAACAGAAAGAACAAGAATGATGTCATTCCCTTCTGTTTCTTTGTTGTTGTTGTTTAAATTGAAACACATTTCCAGTGAATTTCCATTATAATGCTAAAAGGAGTCTTGAAGAGAGTGTGAAGAGAAGTGCTTTAAAGCTTTCCCTGGGTGAACAATTAAGAGCAGAAAGCTTTGTCTTGTCTTCTGATTTTTTTTTTCTCCCAGATTTGCTGCTAGATCTTTTGTGTGTCTATCTCCAAACTTTTTACTGTGCACCTTATATGTGCAGAGTATCATACAACTAATGTTATGCATATTAGCTGGTCTCTGTCCTCAAAAACAACAAAATATTCAAATAGCTATAGTGCCTAGCAAACCATAGTAATTCCAGTAACAACTTTAAAGTATTAAAGGTGATAAAGAGAAAAAGAACATTTCAGGTTGAGGAAATTTTTTTTTAAGTTTCATGGAGAGGAGACATTTGAATGTCAGTAGAGATTTGACAGGGAAAGAATGTGGAGAATATTTTAGGCAAAGGGAACAGCTTGAGGGAAGATATAAATGCCCAATATGTGCTTGGGAGTTAGCCAGGGGGACAGTTTGTCACTCAAAAAAGGCAGAAGGAGAGTAGGGTGGAATACCAGTAAAAGGCCTGGTTGGCCCAGATCATGGGTGGTCTAGGATGCCAGGCTGAGGAATGTGTACTTACTAGGCAATGGGAAAACATGGGGGGCTGTTATGGGTAGAAAAATGATACTGTGGGAGTGGTTCTTTAAGATTTAGTGGTCAGCTCTGTCCTGTAGAGGATGAATTTGAACGTGGAGCACGGTTCGATAATATTATAATCTTAGGCAAGTCTACTAGGGTAACAGATGTGAGGTCAAACTTTGTAACCAAGTAGTTACATAACTTAGACCAGTTCACTAACCTTTTGGCCTCAGTTCCATGATGTGGATGACCTTAAAGTTCTCTCCAACAATAACATGCTATGATTCAAGGTAATGCAGAGCCTGGACTGATAGAATGGGAATAGTAATGAAAGTAGAAAATAAGAATAGGCATTTGAAGAGTGTGGATTCTGTTTGCATTTCCCAGTGGGGCTTCCAGTGACATTTGGGGCTCCCATTTCTTCAATGTTAAGGACTGTTCTTAGCAATGCAGGTATGTTAGCATCTCTGGTCCATATCCACTAAATTTGAATAGCATCTTCCAGCGATTGTGATAATCCAAAAATCTCACACATTCTCAATTTTTCCCTAGAGGATGGTGAATACTGGAACTTGCTCCATCCACTATCACAAACACAATCACTGTGACTCTATTTTAACTTATGTTTGGATATGGTAGAGAACTGAAAGACTGTTGGTCCATTAATAGCCATGGAGAACTTAAGAGAAAGAGTTTTTTATTGGAAAAGATTATGTTTTATTTGGGAAACACTGAATTTAAGATATCAGTGGGAAACCAAGATATCTCATTTATATGTAGTAGTTAGGAGTCAAGAGAGAAAACAAACAGCAATGAAAGTTCAATAATTCATCATTTCAACCTTGAAAAACAGAAGTTGTTTCTTGTTCAGATATTCAGATATTTTATTAAAGAAAAGGAGATGCTTTGACCTTGCTGGAATCAGTCTGCCTGACCCACTTTAATTGAAACTTACCTCAGAATTTTGTTTTAAACTTCCAAGGAAGCAAAAGAAAATGAAAGTGATCGAATTTTGGGTACCTACATGAATCAGATGCTTGCCAGACATTTTACATATATATTTTACATGGTCACTGTGTCTCATGGAGGTTGAGTATCTTGTTCAGGATAACATAGTTAAGTAGCAGAGAAAGAAGATGAAAGCTCAGTCCCACCCAGCTCCAAAACTTGGATTCTTTTCCTGTTACAATGTGACAATTAACTAACTTCAATTTCAACAATCCATGCTGACATGCAAATTGGCATTATATACTCATGTGTTACTTCAAGTCCTTCTGCTGCAACAGTGCTTAAGGCACAGTGACTGTGGTGGGAATTCCAGACCCCACACTAGGCAGGTTGAGTTGCAAGCCATTCTGTTTGAATGATGATGAATGAATTTCATCAGGGAATACTTGATCCAGTTTGACCAAGGGAGGTATTATTTAAAGTTGTTTATTTCATTTACAACTCCTTCACAATAATGGAAATAGGTACCTTCTAAATGTGCTAATGGATATCTCAGATCAAGAAACGTTTCTTGAGGTCATAGGGAGCCTTTTTCCCTAAGTTCAACACCCACTTGTATGTCCCTTTATATTGCTGGGTACAGCTTTATTGTATCTGCTTTCTCCTTGACTACCCATGATCTTAATAATGGTTACTGCATCCGCACATGATGCTTTGGAGATGGCAAGGGCTCCTTGACTTTTGTAATTATTGCCTTATGGCCTTAATTGTATCTAGCAAATGTTTCGGATCACCTTTATTCACCAGCAAGGTCAAAACCTCCTTTTCTTTCATAAAATATCTCAATATTGCCATTAGGTACTGAATTATTTCTCTTTGGTTTCCTCTCTTAGTTCCCCACCCCCTTTTCTTTAATCATAGCATCACGCAAACCATCCAAGGCAAGGTTTTGAGACTCTTGGTTCTAATGTTGTCTCTGATGCTATCCTGGAAGAGTGAGTGAATTTGCTTTTCTTTATCTTAAAATTAGACATCCTCATTTATTGCTTTTTTCCTTTTGTTCCTTTTAATTTAGTCCTGTTACCAACTATAAGATGTCCTGTCAAGCCATAGGCTATAATCTCTGTATTGTATTTCACTATGGACAAGGAGGAACACCTGATAAAAATAAACTAATATGAACGACTTAAATCACCCCATATACTTCCACTGATGGTTAAAATTAAAATTTACTTTCAATGTTTATCTAATCATGCTTGGGTGCATATTTAATATAAACAGCAAGTTATATATTTCAGTGGGTTTATGAACACGTAGGGGTCACAAGTCAGCCAGATTGAGTTCAGTGGGTCCACAATTTCGCTTCTGTTTTGTATAATGGTTTACTGAGAAAGGGTAAATTAAAAGTTTCTCTCCTATTGTGCAAGCTCCAGGAAGAAACATCTGTTTTCAGGGTGTGGGGGGCCTCATGTATCTTGTACAGTACCTGTTACATAAAGCAGTAAATCATTCAGTGAACACTTGTTTCTTAAAGAATATGATTTGGAACTAAGAGCATTTGTGTGGTCCAGTTTAGGGAATAGAAGAAAAATAATTGCTTTTGTCACGTGGAGTAGTCCAAATGAAGATAATGAACATAAAAGAAGGAAAATTAAAATATAAGTTCTTTGAGAAGTCATAATACAATATATAATTATATCTTACTTGTTAACTAGAATGGGTGCAGTCAAGTCCTAGGAAATTCAGTAAGGATATGGCTGACCATTTCCAAACAGCCCCACTTTCCTAAAAGTGAGCAGAATTCTAAATGAGATCAAAAGCAGTGATATTTCTATCCTTAGAGAGACATAGCCAAAAATGACTTTTAACTGAAAGAAGCTCAACATAGCTGCTCTTGCTAATTCTATCAGGTAAAAGTTTTTTGAGCTTGCATATACCAGCAACATACTTTATATTTGTATACTTCTAATCATTTCAATTTTTACTTATATCAAGAATGATGCATGTTAATGTCTCATTGCAAGTTACTTGTAACTTCTCATGGACTGTTAAGGCAAAATTAATCTAATTAAAATATATCTCTAATGAGTATAGCAGTGTTTTATCAAAAATTAATTTCTGATGGTCTTTATGTATGATCCAGGAAAAAAAATCAATATTCCATTTCAGATATGCATTTTTTCTAAGAAAAATGTAGCCTAGCAAATAATTTTAAATGTGTAAGATAAGAAATTTAGTCTGGATGTTGACCCCTTAGAATTGTGATATTAAGACAGCAGTACATTCTCAACAAAGAGATGTCATATTATTAATGTCACTGATAAATTATTTTCTGTATATCTATGCCCAATATGCATCCCAAATATTAGCCCCTGTTTGCCAGCAAGGCATTCAATATGCTGAGTTGCCTTGTCCTTTACAATTTAAGGGTATATTTTTCTCAATATCCCTGTCCTAATATCTCTAGGGATTCAGTGTGTGGGGGTTGGTCAGTCTGCCATTTTGCCTAGACACTGATGTTCTGCATGTCTCCTAAATCTTGAATTTTCTTCATGTCTCACAGCTTTCAGCTATTCTGGTCTCTCCCCTGTGTAACCCAGTTATAAAACAAAATCCCTTTCCTTGGTTACTTTAACATACCAAAGACAGAGAGAGAGAGAGAGACAGAGAGAGAGAGAGAGAGAGAGGAAACTTGAGGAGCTTCATTTAAACGTTACATTTCAAGCATTTTCTTAGTGAATATTAGACATTCCCCCTGCCACACTCCTCAGTGGGAATGTCCCACTAGCCAACTCTTCTGCATCCTCCACAGCTGCTCTTTGTGGAGCATCCCCAGATCCATCCCTAGAGTCCAGCTTCTCTCCATTTCTGGAATCCTTCCCTTCTTCCTCTTGGATTCCTCCAGAAATGAAAAAATACATATTATGCAGAGCAACACAGTTCTTTTTGTAAACTCTTACTGCATCCTAGCAATGTTCTGAGGGATATCACAGCAGAACCAATATAAATCCATATGTTATTTTGAGAAACAAAATAAAATTATCTTTTCTAAGATCATTCTGATGCCATATCTGAACGAACAGGCTTTTCTCCCCAGACTAGATGTATATTTCCCAAGGTTATACAAACATATACATGAAATACATACACACATATATTTCACTTTTATTCCACCCTCTAGCATTTCACTCTTGTATGGTTAATTCCTGCTAAAAAATGTAAATGTTCAGATTTCCCTAAGCTTTATTTAAATTACTAAGTTGATGATACTAACACTTCCTTCTACTATCAGTCTATTTTTTCCTTGCATTTAATGATTGAGCATTCTGCTGCCACTTCTCTTTACCGTCTTGTCCTTCCTTAATCCTCTCAACTTGGCTTCCATTGCTACCACTCTGCTGAAGGGATTCACCAATGTTCTACTTCTAAGAAAATCTTTTCTTCTTTTCTTTATGGAAACACTTTTCTTCTTGAAGCTCTCCTCCACTGGAGTTGCCTCAGCATTTGGCACTGATGGTTACCCCCTGCTTGATTTCAAGTTCTTGTTTTTCATCATTCCACATATTTTTCCCACTTCCTGAAATTTCATTCTATAAAATGTTTCGTACTTTTATTCTTACTTATAAAGAATTCATCAGTTTGTTCTGCTCCAACTACTACCACTAGTAAAACAATCCCTAAATCTACACTCCAGCCTTGATTGCTTAACATCTTTTCAATCTTATATTTCAACCCCCATTGATGCTCCTTAAAGTGTGAAGCAATGAAATCATTACTTTCTTGTACAAATGTTTGTTGCATATTGTACTTATTTCTTTATTGTCCCTATTCTTGCCTGATAAATGTATTTTGATACCTTTATTCTTTCAAATTCATCAAGTCTTACAGGCCAGTTCTTTACCTACCACATTACTTAAGTTTAATCTTTCTTCATCTCCATTTCTACAGCAACCACTCTAGACCACACCAAATTACTACACATTTTAGTCTCTATATGCTCTCATTTGTAGCATAATTTCTCATACTAATCAGCATTCAGAAATTGCTAAATTTTTCTTTATATACACTTACCTCTCCTCCAATACAATCAACATACATTCACCAGTGTATGTTTTCTCAAATTCAAGTTAAATCAAATCAATTCATGTGATTGTATTAAATTTACATTGCCATTTTAGCGTACTCTCAACACTTAAGTTCCTTTGTGAATCGTTCTTCCCTTTCAGTAGAACTGGCCTCAACAGTTCTTACATACGCTGCTACCTACTCCCTCCAGTCATGGTACCTTCCCTGGAATGATGGTTTATTCTGTGTCCCTCACTCAGGATGACTCTTTCACCAAAGCTATTCTCAACATTTACTCATTCTAAACAGCCTAGTCTGAACATGTATAATCCAAGATGACCACATTTTAGGTTTATCTTTTCTCTGTGCATGATTATAACATTCCAAATATTATCTCTATGAAGAAGAACCCTTCTAAATTGCAAACTCCAGGGGCAAGTAGTGTGTTTTCTCCACTTTAAACCTTATAATATTAAGTGCAGTGATGTGCACCCAACAAATGTTAATTGGTAGAGAAGCTATAGAATTAGGCAACAATAAATTCCATATAATGAGTCATTAAGAAAATCCCAGTCTTTCCCCCTATAATCTGCTTCCCCACCCCCACATACTCCCTTTTTTAAAAAGCTCAATTATTAATGTAAAATAAATGAACAGAGCTAGGAAAGAAAAAATACTAAAAATCTGTCTTCACTGAAGCCCACCCAAGCTGAGCAATGGAGAGGTGACACTCTGCCTCAGCCAGCATATCTTCCATTTCTCCCCACTCCAGCTCCCATTCTCTCTCCACTGCCACAGCTGCATACTGCTATTGTCGGTAGTAAAGATGAGACATCTCTAATTAGAGGGCAGGGTAAATTGCTTTTATCTACTTTTAACATGCTTTTACATGGCACCTGGTACACAAGCCTCAGCTAGGCAGCCATAATTTGAAAAGCAAATGAATGCTCAGAGAAATACGATACATTTTTAAAAGAAAATTAAATATATAGCGTAGCAAAATCAACATGCTGGAGACTGCAGAGTTTAACGCTGTCAGAGTCTTGTGCACTTATGTATTATAGGGAATTAAAACAAGCAGAGTCCACGTACCCTGTAGAGTCTGGTGGTCCTGTCTTTCTTTTTCTGTTGGGAACAGATGGAGAGATTTAATGTCTAGAAAAATTATCAGTGCAAGAAACAGACTGGTGGTAACCCCTTGACCATCTCCATCTAGAGGAGTAGATTTTTAGGTGGAAGAAAAAATATTAGTAGAACTCTTTCTCTGACCTACATACATCTAACCATCTTTATAATGAATAAATCTATTATGTATGAGTTTTTGTTTCTGGTTTTGGATTTAATTTTTATTTCTTTAGCAGTCCAGAACATTTTCAAAAACCAAGCAATTTATCAAGTGTTTGAAAAATAAAACAAAGAGAAATCAACTACAGTTAGCTCCTTAGTGTTTGGACAGCACTGTCATTCAATAAAAATATCTGCCATTTATTGTGGCTTGGAATACGGATTCCACAGTTAGGGGAGCCGCGAGCTCATACACGAACTCCACAGGCTCCTCTCCCTCTGATCATTATCAGCAAAAATATATTAATTGTCTTCCTACAGCAGTGTCTGTCACAGGAGGACCCGTGGTCTCCACTCTGTGCCAGGATCACAGCTCTTCCTCATGCATAGGTTCTCTTACTTCTGCAGGCACTATGGTATTATTGCCCTCCAAACTTTGTTTACTTACTTTCCCGGAGATCGCCTGCTTACTGGCTGTAACTTTCCGGCTGTGAGAACTGGAAGCGCTAAATAATAACAGGGCTATACTGTTTATTTATTGCTGCTTTGGAACAGAAAGCCAACTGAAGTCCTTTAGTGTAGTGGGTAAGAAGGACTTTCAGCTAAGAAAAGCTGGCACTGTAAACACAGTGGTTCTGGCAGGGGAAGTGCCTGATTAGAGATCCCTAGTTTCCTCAATTCCCATATGCAGGCATCTATATGCATTTAGAGCTTGTGAATTTTTTCTATTTTCGATATACCATGAATGAGAGAGTATAATTTAAAGGGCTAAGGCAAGAGACATATTTTAGAAGTAACTCTAATTTAAATATTTGAGCCATATGCAGGATTAGAACATGTGCTTCACTGCATTAAACACTACTTAGAATGTATTGATTCCTATTTTAGTCTTTGTAGTAGTCATTAGCATGGTTGGTGAAATAGTTCTCTGCCTTCCTTGGACATGACAGGGTTGTACTTTCTGGCCCTCTTCTGCTTAGGTGTGTCCATGTGACATTTCTGATGAATGATTCATAAGTAGAAATGATGTTCAATGGCTAATGGGAAACCTTCCAGACCCCTTTACCCACCCTACCCTCTGGCCAACCAATAATGTTCAAAACTGGGGGTGATCCATCAGCTTAGATCCTAAAGCGAAATCAAGGAAGAACCTAGAACCCAGTAAAGAACCTAGAACTGACATATGTTGGTCATGTAGCAGTAGCAAGAAATCAAGTTCGTTCTGAGGTTTTTGTGCTTTTCGTTATTTCAGCATACTCTAGCACATCTTGATTACTGTACTACTGTTATTCATTTCAGTTTTAGCATAGATGCCCATACTTGACTTTTTAGCTACCACACTTTGATCACAGTACTTACTTAACCATTTAAATTGCACTTACATTCTCTCCCAGTTATTAGTTTACAATTTTCTTGAGAACACAGATGTCTCACTCATATTCACATTTTCAGTTTTTAGTACATTGCCCCTATATCATAGACACTCAGTACTATTGAATTGAATGGACTTTAATTTGTGCAGTGTCGACACTTCAGCTCTGTGCTCAAATGGTGGGTGAGCTACAGTGACAATTAATCTTAATTAACATTATTTGAATATATGCCTCTCTTAAAGTTAAACAAGGGAAAAATAATAGTTAGTCTGATCTGGTAGAGAAATATATTAAATTTAGGAGGTTTGAGTTAGGCTTCTGATTCTGGCTGTATGATATTTAATAATTTATTTTGGCAAATATTTTTTAGTTGTCCACTTACCATATGCCAGTGTTCCCGGTCCTGATAATAGTAAGAGTTCTCCTGGAATTAACAGGGTCATGGCAAGTCACATAATGAGTTAATTTTTATCCTCTTTGATAAATTAAAGACAATAATATATCCTTATGTTTGTTGTGTGGTTTGAAGGAAATAATATATGTATATTAGTTTTGCAAATTTCAAAGCATTTCAAATATGTGAACCTAAGATACTTTTAAAAATTTTGAATAATAAATTTTACCAGTAATTATATGCATGGATGCTTAATAATTCAATATTCTAGATATTATAATAGATGACTCATTTCTTGTGACAAGTTGGGATCCATAAAGAAAAAACTTTCAAACTATTCAGCAATCATTATGAAATTTTAGATCAGTGTTTTACCTTGGAGGAGAGTGTGTGTGCTAAAAAACAATAGCAATAAATCCACTTTTCATTTGGCAGAATGCAAGCTCTGATTTCTAATTTCAGTAAAAACAACTGTTTCCTAGAAAATAACACTGATTTACTTGTATACCTAATACAGAGCAATAATTGGGAGTGGCTAATATATAGGAAGAACAAAGACAATGATTGTGCCTACCGGGTGATACAAACAGGATATTTCAACCCGTGTTCATAAAATCATTTATCCAAATGTTTTTGATACACTCAAAGAAGAAATACTTTATTATTTTTTAATATATAGAAAAAGTATATAGGATATACATATATTTAAAAATAAATGTGTGCTAAATGAGCCAGAGTCAAGTAATGTGTGTATATACCTACCCAAAAACTACCTGAAATTTTATACACAGCAGATTTAAACCCTAAATGATTATCTCTTTCATAATATCTCAGTTGTAGTGTTGAAAAAAATCAGAGATGACACAAAAAAATGGAAAAACATTCCATGCTCATGTACAGAAAAAATCAATATGTTAAAATGGCCACCCTACCCAAAGCAATTTACAGATTCAATGCTTTTCCTATGAAACTACTAATGACATTTTTCACTGAATTAGAAAAAAACTATCCTAAAATTCATATGGAACCACTAAAAGAGCTCAAATCACCAAACCAATTCTAAGCAAAAAGAACAAAGCTGGAGTCATCACACTGTCTGACTTCAGATTATACTACAAGGCTACAGTAACCAAAATGGCACAGTACTGGTACAAAAACAAACACATAGACCAATGGACTAGGTTAGAGAACCCAGGAAAAAAGCTTCATATTTACAACCATCTGATCTTTGACAAAGTTGACAATAGCAAGAAATGGAGAAATAAGTCTCTATTTAATAAAATAGTTTTGGAATAACTGGTTAGCCATATGCAGAAGATTGAACATGGACCTCTTCCTTTCACCATATGCAAAAGTCAACTCAAAATGATTTAAAGACTTAAATGTAAGACCTAAAACTATAAAAATCCTAGAAGAAAATCTAAGAAATACCATTCTAGACATAGGCCTTGACAAAGATTTCGTGATGAAATCTCCAAAAGCAACTGCAACAAAAACAAAACAGACAAATGGCACCTAATTAAATTAAAGATCTTCTGCACAGCAAAATAAACTGTCATCAACAGAATAAACAGATAACCTACAGAACGGGAGAAAATATTCACAAACTATGCATCTGACAAAGGTCTAGTATCCAGAATCTATAAGGAACTTAGATAAATCAACAAGCAAAAAACCACCCCATTTAAAAATGGACAAAGGACATAAACAGACACTTCTCAAAAAAAGACATACACATGGCCAACAAACAAGAAAAATGCTCAACACCACTAACCCATTAGAGAAATGTAAATCAAAACCACTATGAGATACCACCTTACACCAGTTTGAATGGCTATTACAAACAAATCAAAACATAAAGTGATGTTGGCAAGGTTGTGAAGAAAAGAGAATGCTTACACACTTCTAGTGGGAATGTAAATTTGTTCAGCCATCAAAATCAGCTTGAAGGCTTATTCAAAGAACTTAAAAAACAGGACTACCATTTGACCCAGCCATCCCATTACTGGATATATACCCAAAGGAATAGAAATCATTCTACCATAAAGATGCATGCATGCATGTGGTCATTGTAGCACTGTTCACAATAGCAAAAATCATGAACTCAACCTAGATGTCCATCAACTGTGAACTGGATAAAGAAAATGTGATACATATATGCCATGGAATACAATGTAGTCATTAAAAAATTAAATTATGTCCTTTACAGCAACATTGATGCAGCTGGAGGTCATTATCCTAAGCCAACCATCTCAGGATCAGAAAACCAAATATTGCATGTTCTTACTTAAAAATGTGAGCTAAACATTGAATACACATGGACACAAAAAGGGAAACAGCAAATACAGGGACCTACTTGCGGAGAGAGGCTAGGAGGAGAGTGAAGGTCAAAAAGCTACCTATTGGGTACCATGCTCACTATTTAAGTAACAGAATCATTTGTACACCAAACTCCAGTGACATGCAATTTAACCACGTAACAAACTTGCCCATGTACCTCCTGAACATAAAATAACAGTTGAAATAAAAAATAATAATCTCTTAGTGCCAGAAATGGGACTATCTCACAAACTAGAGTAAAATTGGTACACTTTTTGATATACAAGATACATTAATTTATTTATTGTATTTTTAAAATATGTCATCCATTATTATCTTCCACTTGCATTCATTTATTTATTCATTCATTTATTCTTTCAAAGAAATATTGATTTGAGCACCCATTCTATTCCAGAGTTTGTGCTGCTCCCGGTAAATATGAAGGTGAATTTCATTTAGTTTCTGCCTTCAAAGAGTTCACGATGTCTTCCAAATTCTTGCAAATACAAAGAAATGTATTAGAATGAACTCCATGAAATTGCCTGATAAAATTCAAAAAACTGTAAAATGAAGGCATTGCTCTAAACAAGCCTAAAATCTATTTGGATATAAATGAAACAAGTAGGTAAGTATGTCTTCTGTATACTTTTTAAATCTTATTATAAGTAATATATTGACTACAACTGAATAAACCAAAAATATTTTCTGAGCTTATCTTATACATAGACCTAAAGAGCAAGATCAATCTGTGAATGAGTGTAAAATGTCCTCTGAAAGGAACAGATGTATCACGCGTGTAAATTCAAATCAGAATTTTGGAAAAATTGACCTTATATTGGGATTTTAAAACATCTTTGTTTTCTCTGGGAGAGGGAGTCAGCAATGCAGCTTAGCTTAAACTTTGTATAAAGAATAAACTGCTATTGTTCTGATGGTAACACCAACATCATGAAGTGACTGTCCTTGGTCATGTGGAGGTTTGTCCGGGGCTAGCAAGGGAGCTAGGCAGGGCAGAGACCATTACAAGATTCCAGGGCAAATGTGGGACAATTGTGGTTGTCTTCCATTTTATTCTCTCTTGATGTGTAGCAACCTTAAGGATGAAATGGATCTAATTCCTGCTTAGCTCTCACAGAGAGTCTTAATTGGCCTAAACTTTAAGAGTGGTCTTCTTTTACTAAAATTATTGGTTCAGAAATGGGCTTATGAGTTAGGCCTAAACCAATCAGTCATAATATTTTTCTAGTTGTATGGTCTGCTTCGTGGGAGGGCATTTGATTCAAGTTGTTCTAATTATAAAGAAGCACAGGATTTCTGTTTAGCAGAGAAAGAGAAGATATCGATGTCTCCTTGGATGTGAACAAGCAAATACATGTCTCTGGAATCTGTTGGCAGTCATCTTGTGATGAGAGAAGCCATTTTGAAAGTATGGAGAACATATAGAGAAGATTAGACGCAAGAGAATGACAAAGAAATGGAACCAAAGACCGAAGACACTGTGAGCTCTGTATTTTCTTTCCACCAAGTTCAAACGTTCCATAAAGTCTTGTAAAGGCAGTAGTATTATGGGTTAATTAGAGATAGACCTAATCAGGTCTGGGAGAGGATAATATCCTGACCCCCCACAGCCACTGTCACCAGCAAAGTGTAACTATGTGCAGCAGGAGCGTCATTAGCTACAGAGAGAGCTACCTGACAAGGCAGGTGGAATGGAAGAAGCACAGGGACTACAACCAGCAACAAGGACTGCAGCATAATAGAAAGTTCCAGAAATATCTGGATGACACTTAGAAAAGAAAAAAAAAAATAGGGTGACAAGGTTTGTGGGATGTTTGTCATCACAAATCGAGTTACTCAAGATACTATTAAAGAGAACATACTTTTCAATCTATTCTCAGGTGCGCAATGATATGCAATCTGTGTATTTCCTGTAGTGCAATCTAATCTGTGTCTTTTCTTCCTGGACAAAATCTTAATGTAGTCAACTCCAGATTTTCTTATTTTCTTTTTAAGTCACTTAAGGATTCTTCCTTCTTTTCTAAACCTTTCCTCCCTAGGTATTAGATCCTCTTTGTGACATTTTTTAAATTTTCAATACTTTAATACTTTATGGTACTTTTCTTTAAGATTATTTTATATTAAGCAACTGTTTTATGCAGCATTACAGAGTGAGAAACAGAGATTGTGGTTTGGGGTGCATGGAGATCCTTGGGTGTGACCATCCCTCCCATTTGGATTCTGGTGACATGACTGCCTTTTGAAAGCCTCCACTCCTTGGTCCCCTTGGTTGTGGCACCGAGGCCTCAGAGACTACCTTTTAGCTTCCTTCCTGCTTTCTAAGCTTTTTTCTGTTCTCTGCTTCTCTGATACTCCTTCCTCTCCAAGTCCAGAGAGAATTAGCTTTTAGTTTTATTTCTGTCTTCTCTCTGTGGCATAGGAAAGATAAAACTGATTATAAAAGAATTTTTCCCCAAATCCATGATTTACACAACAATATGAGCTTGTATCTTCAAAAGACAACAAACTTCATTTATTTTCCTTTGCATTTGGATGCACCTCACCTCTCTACAGTGCTAGAGTCCAAGGTCTAGTTTGAGAGAGGGAGAGAGAGAGTGAAAGACAGAGAGAGAGAATATGTCGGGGTTGGGGTAAAC